CCCGCCTATTTTGCTCACCAAATCCCCATTTAGAACCCTCCTCCCCTGAGCTATAAAAACCTTTTTTTCTTCACATGCAATGCTGACCTCTCAAGCCCCGCCTTAGGGGGAGGCAGCCAGTGTATACAAATAAAAAAGCTTGCTTTAATTAATTTTGTCATGAGGATTTGGGTCTGTGATCTTTTTCCTCCCATCTTTGGGATTAACATCACCTCCACACAGGAAACCCAGTGCATGCAATGAGACAAAGACCGGCATTCAGCTGTTGTCTGTATCAACAATACTCTACTTTCTGTGATCCTTACAGATAAAGTGAATTGGTTCATCTGCATAGAGCATATTATATAATCGACGCCTGATCTTATGGCCAGTCCCTGTGAGAGTCACTTAGCTTTCCAGTACTTCATGACAGTACATCAGACCTGTTGGAATGGGTAGACAATGCAGCCCTTATTTACTCCATAGGCATAGAGTGTGCTGTACCACACTTAGGTCCCTTGTGCACTCTTCCTATGTAAAAATCAATTCATTACTACCTAAAGCTTCTTGAAGATGATAGTAAAGGCTACAATTTATCCAGCTATCCCTACCCCTCACATAAAAGCTTCAGAACAGGTCTGATGAGCCATCACATAGTGGTAAAGAAACAGACAACATGACGTTTTTCTCATCACTCAGCTGTAAGACAAAGAGCTGGTAAGTAAAGGAGCCAGGATTGAGAATTCAAATTGACCTAATCCCAAATCCTAGTTTCTAACCCCTAAACCATGCTGCGATGGAAATGAGTGCTGTTTCCTCTTTCAGAAGAAATACTGTGTGTTTTGTGTGTTACACTTAAAATGGCCAGTGCTGGGAGCCAAGTGTGTTCCCTGGCCACTCTTCTGGGTTACACAGGGAAATATTATTTCTTGTTTCTCAACCTGAAAAATGAGAGATTAGGAATATTCCTTTCATGCTAATGATTTGAATTCTTGAAATACAATTAAACTTTGCTATGATGTATTTATACCCTTCTTATTTCCAGAGATAATTCTGAATATCCAAATACCCATGTGTTTATTTTATTTAACTGACATTTTAACTAAATTTTTAATATAATTTCAGAAAGTCGTTAAAATATGAACCTTAAAGAGAGCTATCATTATTGTCTTAGAATTCTAAGGTCTGAAAAAAAATAAATACATCTTTAATAAACAAATTATTTGGGGTAGATGAAACACTATGTGGCTTCATTCACAGCCAGCAGATCCTCAGCACACGGGGTGTCACTGTGATTGCTAAGGTGAGCGTATGTGTACAGGTTAGCCTTAGTCATTGGTTGGCCACCGATGGCCTCAGCTGGACTTTGTTCACACTTACTCATCTGTCAGTGGAGAGGAGGCATGCACACAGACCTTTCTGCCACCAGTTCCATGTCTTAACTGATGGCACACAGAGGCCAGATGATTATTTCACTAGAATCTAAGCAGAACGGTGCATAGTCCCCGTCCCTTGTCCCATTATCCCTAGAGTCAGCTCAGGACTGTGAACAAGGCCTTCCTGCCTTGTTCTTTTTCAGTGTTTGTCCTTGGAGGTCACCCAAGTCACGACTTCCGCCTCCTGGCTTAGTGAGTCTCTAGGAGACTGCCGTAGTAGTTAACTTGCTTCTGAAATAGCCCACTGAGCAGAGAGGAGGAGGGCACACAGTTTAAGACTATGCTGTTGACTGAAAGCAAATCAGAATTAGGTAAAAAATTGTCTGTTCGATAAAACATTTTGAGTTTGGGTGACTAATACGGCAGAGAGAGGAAAAAGCATTGGGGAAATGGGACGAGATTTCTTTTTCCTGGTTCTGAGTCAAAAGGTTTGGGGCAGCATACATCCTTTACCCTGATTTTACTTTGGCAGAATGCACATTTATTATACTACCAGGGTCCTGAATTCCTTACAGGAGATGACCTTTCTCAGGGTTATCATCATTGCAGTGGTGAGCTTGTCTGCCCAGCTGCCTCAGCAATTCCTCTCACATGCTGCAGAAAGCTGTTTCCAGGATGTAATCATGAAGCAGCAGAATGAAAACATCAGATCATAATAGGTATTGAAATGTGAATGAAGTTAGCAGGTCCAAATTATTGGAAATGCAGCTGAATAAGCATTGGAGGAGGGTGTGCTCCTAAGTGGCACCAATACATCTGGTTGCTGCCCAGTTAGGAAACAGGTGAGTCAGCTTGCTAGACAAGTCCAACAGAGACTAACCCAGAGCCTGAGACTGTGAGAGCACTCTCCTAGCCTGTTCCCATAGATGATATGCTGGGTCAAAAATGAATAAGAAAAGAACTGCCAAGGAACTCACCAACACATGCAGAGTAAGCCACAGGGATATTCCTGCTGAGTAGTTTGGTGTCATCACTTTGGTTGGTATTGGGAGCAGGTGGCTGCTATAGGGTTGGATACCTCAGTGCTCTACATGCCTTACACTGGGAATCCCTAGCGTGCCCCAGGAGTGTGATCAGCGTGAAGAAGAACCGTATGGACAGGCATTTTGAAGTTTTCATTACCATCTTTTTATACATAGATGCCCTCATATTGCCCCCTCCTGCCACCTCCTCTATTCTCCCCTAAATTGGTCTCATTCCTCCCCACAAATAATCCCCTTCTGGTTTTAATCACACACACACATACACACACACACACACACACACACACACACACACACACACACACACGCATGCGCACACACACACACACACACACACACACACACACACACACACACACACATCTAGATTATCCATGAGGGAAAGCATACAGTATTTGCATTTCTAAGTCTGGCTTATTTTGCTTAACATGGTATTGTCTAGTTCAGCCATTTCCCTGCAAATGATGTAATTTCATACTTTAGGATGAATGGCTGAGTAAGTTCCACTGTGTGTGTGTGAGAGAGATCTCACATTTTCTTCATCCATCTGTAATGGAAAGCAACCCAGTTTTAAAGACAAATGACCTGACCTAGGAAGATGTGGCATCTAGGCTGGCCCCCTGTCTGGCTGAGGTTAACAGCACAGTAATGAGTATAGATGTGCATATATCTCTGGTGTGCGGACTGGGCATGCATTTTCAGTGACCCCAAAATACTTTCATGTTCATTTTCCTCATCCTAGACAAAAAGCAAGTCAGACATTTTCTCAAATCACAGCTTAGTGCTATCACACACATAGATGAGAGGATGGAAGAGGAACTGGCTTAATGGAGGAATCACTACTGAAACTTATAGAAGATAATCAAAGGCTGCTGGAGCAGAATAATCATGAGCTTGGGCTTGTGTATAAACATGTTGATTTCTGTGACTAAATCACATATGTCTGCTCTGCTCACTTATTAGCCTCTTGAAAATTACATTTTAGGGATATTTTTTTCTTTACATCATTTTCTCAATTGCTACTTTGAAATCTTCATCATAGTAGGTAAGGCATTTGCTCACTGTAAGAGAAAGGATGCTGTGTATCTGTGGACAGCAGGAAGTACTTTGGCCAGGAGCATGACTTCTGGTCCCTGTAGTATCAGGGGAGCTCACTGAAGACCAGCAGGGGTGATGCATGCATCTAGTCCATCACTTGTTAGTAAAAGACCCTTATGTGGCCACTTCTACACATAGATAAAAATGGTCTGCACACAGTGCAAATGAGCACAGTAAACCATCCCACACCTCATTTTCTACCTGAGTGAGTATCCTCAGGTTCACGCCACACAAAACTACTTATCTGTGACCTGTTGTGAATTTAGTCTTTCAAGTCTGCCAGTTTCTCCCACCATTATTCATTTGGATTAGAAAGGTGCCCGTCTGTGCCTCCTTTATTCTGCCACCCTGTGGATTTTACTTCCTACTGCAGTCATTGTGGTCTTGAAAGGGACAGGTCAGCTGATGATCACATTGTTGAGAATTATTTCATTTGAATTTTACTAAAAGATTACCATAATGTTTTAAAACACTTTTTGAAATCTGCAATAGACTAATCATAAACATCCCAAGGACATCTAGGTCTAAGACTTTCTCAAGACTTTATTTTTTATTTACTTTTTACTTTTGTGTATGCCCACGGTTTTTCTGTGGGCATACTTAATGTGCATTTCTATCTTTGGGCAAGAATTTTGGTCAAGATCTTTATTTTCTAGGGGTTTTTAAAAGCACATCATGTGTCTACTACCTAGATTGACCTTCAACACTTAACTTTACTTGCTGTGTCATTTATCATCCACACACCTCTCTGTAGATCTTTATTATGTATGCATATCTGTGTCTATTTGTGTGTGTGTGTGTGTGTGTGTGTGTGTGTGTGTGTGTGTGTGTGTGTGTGTGTGTGTACATATCCATGTGGGTGTGCATGTGTGTGTAGACCACAGGCTGGTGTAGGCTGTCTTCCTCAGTTGCTCTCCACCTTATTTGATGAGCCACAGGGTCTCTCACTAAACCTGAGCTCTCTGATGTGGTTAGGTTGGCTGGCCAATGAGCTCTACTGAATTGCATGTCTCCACCAGCTCATCCCCCAGCCTAGGATTACAGACACTGGCCACTGCACCTGGCTTTCACATCGGTGCTTGGGATCTGAACTCTGATCCTCATTGCTTGTGCAGCAAGTGCTTTACTGACTGTCTTTTCTCAGCAACCCCCATCTTTATTTTTTGATGACTTTTAAATTACATTATAGACTTCACTCTGCTTTCTTCTAAATGTTATCAATGACAACATTTGTTTGTACCTACTTTTCTTTTTTGAGCTAAAACTTTCTTGGAGTGAAACATATAAATCTTTAGTACAATTTGATGAAATCTGATCCCTTTTAATCCCCTGTAGTTTATATAATGTTGGGCTGGCAAGAGGCTCAGCAGTTAAAAGTATTTGCCAAGCAAGCCTAACCGCCTGGATTTGACCCCTGAGGGCTGCCCTCTGACCTCCTCGTGTGCCTTGGCATGCACGCACGCGTGTGCACATCAGTGCAAGAATACACAACCATTTCAAAAAATCGATTAGACTGTAGCATGATGACATTCTAAAGCCTCCCCTTTCTTGTCACACTTAAGCCCCCACCCCACTCCACCAGCGGTGGCCTCCGCTCATTTTCTCCACCACAGATGGTCTTTGTCTCTTCTTGGACTGGAGCTCTTTGGGTGTTTTTCATAATGAAGCAGACATTTTTGTTGCATGGTGTCTTCTGTAAGCACTAATCACTTTCAGACTCTTGCCAATTGTAATCTCTTCTTTGAGGGGAGTAAATGTTCCACATTCATCTTCTCATGGAGTGCTTTCAAATCTGCAAGTTAAGAATGACAAATATGGGCTGGAGAGATGGCTCAGTGGTTTAGAGCATGCACTGATCTTCCAGAGGTGCTGAGTTCAATTCCCAGCACCCACATCAGGCAGCTACCTCTAACTCTAGCTCCAAGGGATCTGATGATGTTGGCCTATGCAAGCACCTGTACACACTTACACATATACATAATTTAAAAATAATAAAACTATCTTTTTTAAAGAAAAAGGAAAAAATGACAAATACAGATGATGTAGATGTAAAAATTTAAATGCAAATATAAAATCCTATCTTTGCACATTGGATTTACCTCCACTGTGCCCATGGCATCATGGAAGCTGTATGTTGAGTCTGGATACGAATCTGAGTGCCTCAACTCCACCATGCTCTGAAATTTCCCCATTATTTTTCCCTCTCCTGGATTTGTCAGCATATGTTTGAGATTCACCCAGGCTTGTGTCTGCCACTGTCTCCTTGTATTTTCTAGTAGAATCCCATCTTATGGAGCTGTGCACTTCATGTGCCCATGCTCCCATTATGGAAGTCACACCTTTTCTGGCTTTGAATTGTTACAGTAATGCTGCTATAAATGCCTATAGGCAAGACCTTTCCTGAATGAGTCTGGGCTTTGTTGTTTTCTTATCGCTATGCAGACAAGCTGGCCTCAAAGTTGGAACCCTTCTGTCTCAGCCTCCCAAGTGAATGTGGTTTTTTTTATTTATCTTTTAAAAAATATATATTGATCTTGAATGAGTTGGGAAGAAATAGCTAGGTCATGGGACGTACTGATGGTTCTCAGCGGCACTCTTACCCTGCGAGGAAACTCACGAAACAGGACAGAACCCACTAACAAGAGTTTTATTGAGGAAGGGAGAAGGGATAGCTGTGTTCAGGCCTGCTGAAAGGACATGTGAGGGAAGGGGATGGGGGGGGGGACGGGACACGGGGACATGGGGCCCACCTTTTAAGGACTACTCCACAAATGCACATAGATCATGTGGTCACGCCGAGTGCAATTTATGTGACCATGCAGCGCATGGGTTACATAGGAGTATGACCTGGAAATGACTAAGTGTCCCGCAGGGGCATGCGTGATCATGGGGCCATGGCTGAAATTCCTATCACATACTATGTTCAATTTTGCAACCAGCCTTTTGTCCACAGTGGCCAACCACTTACATCACCGACAGCCAGAGCTGCAGTCCCTCCGTGTCTGATGCTACCCAGGCCTCCCATCTGAACCCAGGGAAGCCAAATTTGTTTTCCTCTTAGAGAACTGTTCAGCACATCAGTTTCTCCGTCATTAGCCCAAGGCGAAGAGCTTCCAGGTTCTTTTCAGAACATGTAACGTAAACTTCCCTGCTACTCTCTGTGTGATGGCTAGTCTTCTGTCAACTCCACACAAGCTAAAGCCATCTGAGAGGAAGAAACCTCCATTAGGAAAATGCTTCCATAAGATCAGGCTGTAGGCAAGTCTGGAGGACACTTTTTTTCTTTTCTTTTCTTTCTTTTTAAGACAGGTTTCTTTGTGTAGACCATGCTGGCCTTGAACTCACAGAGCTCCACCTGCCCTTGCCTCCAGAGTGCTGGGTTAAAGGCATGTGTCACCACCACTACCAGGCAGACATTTTCTTAATTAGTGATTGATGGGGGAGGGCCCAGCCCATTGTAAGTGGTGCCATCCCTGGGCTGGTAACTGGGTTCTATGAGAAAGCGGGCTGAACAAGCCATAGGGAGCAAGCCAGCAAGCAGCACCCCTCCATGGCTTCTGCATCAGCTCCTGCCTCCAGATTCTTGCTGTAGTTGAGTTCCTGTCCTGACTTCTTTTGATAATGAACTGTGAGGTAGAAGTGTAACAAAATAAACCTTTCCTCCCCAAGTTGCTTTGGTCCTGGTATACTTCATCCCAGCAGCAGTAACCCTAACTAAGACACTATTCTTGTCAAAAAAAAAAAAGTTACTGGGAAGGAGAGATGGCTTAGCCATTAAAGGCCAGGCTCACAACCAAAAAAAAAAACAAAAAACAAAAAGTTACCCATCTGGGCATGATACACACCTATAAACCCAGCACTCAGGAGGCAAGATGGAAAGATTCTGAGTTAGAGGAAAGCCCTGGCAATATGGCAAGACTCAGTCTTAAAGATGTAAAGGATTTCTTTCTTTTGTAAAATGTATTTGTTTATTTTGCATGTTTGTGAAGAACACACACACGCATGGTATATGTATGGTGTCAGAGAACTCGTGGGGTTGACTTTTTCTTCCTCTCTGTGCACTATGGGGCTCAACCTCAGGTAGTCAGGCTGCCTTTTAACAGCTGAGCTGTCTCACTGGCCCATTGCTTTTTGGGTTTGGTTATATAAGGTAATTAAGAAATCATCCTTGAGAATGTGTGGTTCGGTATGCGGAATTCACTTCTGGTAGAGCTGAGTTCCATCACTGCGGTTGAGAACCATCTGGGCCTTTTCCCTAGCCACATGCTCTCTGAACATGCTTCCTGAGTTGTGTGTGTCGCGCCCTCTCCCTACAGGCAGCCCTGTCAGTAGTCATGGAACCACAGTTTGTAATCCAGCGAGAGAGTTACGAGACATAATCTAGTCCATCAAGCATTCTCCCTGGTCCCCTGGCTGTTTAGCGCTGGGAACACCCGTGCTTACTTGGATGGGTTACATGAGTCTTTATTTGTCTGCTCAATTCCCCATAGAGCCTGTAGCATGTGGCAGATCCTTGCTCTTTGCTTGGTCAATAGTTAGTGTTGATGACAGAAACTGTGACCTTCATGTCAGACGGACACCGAGTCCTTGACGACTCTGCACCTGTCTGTGTTCCTCTGGCCTTGTCTTATGCTGCTGTGCCTGGCTTGCTTTCCAGTCCCTCTTCACTTCAATAACTCCTCAAATAATCACCAAGCTGAGGTTGGTTCATAAATAAATTTAGGCTAGTTTGGTATGCAGTTTAAGGCATTAATTTGGAGAGGATGTGGCAAATTGGAAATGTTTAAGGCAGAGAAGAGATGAATCATAACAGGTTAAATGTCATTCTTTTATAATTAGGGTAATTAGAATTGTCATTAGTTGCTAATTGTCATTGACATTAGTCACAGGATCCAAATTAAAGCAATCTAAGTATCCATCAGTAGATGAATGGATAAACAAACTTCAGCATATACCCATAATCAGTCATAAAAAGGAGTGAAATACAGATACATTAATAAATGTATAATAAATAACATGGCTGAATGTTAAAAACATTATACTTAGAATAAGCCAGATCCTAAAAGAGATATTGTATGCTGTGGGATGTTCTGTATGCTGTGAATGTGTTGCTCTGATTGATTGATAAGGAAAACGCTGATTGGCCAGTAGCCAGGCAGGAAATATAGTGTAGACAGGATAAGGAGAGAGGAGAATTCTGGGAAGTGGAAGGCTGAGTCAGGAGACACTGCCAGCCGCTGCCACGAGAAGCAAGATGTGAAGGCAGAACTGGGAAAATGTACCAAGCCACGTGGCTAAACATAAATAAGAATTATGGGTTAGTTTAAATGTAAGAGCTAGTCAGTGGTAGGCCTGAGCTAATGGCCAAGCAGTTTTAATTAATATAAGCTTCTGAGTGATTATTTTATAAGTGACTACAGGGTCTGTGGGGCTGGGCAGGACCGGAAAAATCTTTAGCTATACCTTGCCCCTGCTTCTCACTCATTTCTGTCACCAGCAGGCCTCATGGATGGAAACCTCCAAAACTGCATGCCAAGTGAAACTTTATTCTCTGTAAATCACCTCAGGTATTTGTCACGATGATGAAAGGTTGACTAACACACCAACCGAATTTTCAACAGGAACAGAGGCGGTTTCAGTCAGCCCCTCCTCCCCGATGCCTCCCCCCATACCTCTGTCAACCCAATGAGATCTAGTGTTACCTCCAGGTGTGTATATGAGGTGAATGAACTTCTCAGAGAAGTTCAATTGAGAAGGAACAATCCGCCCTGAAGACGCGTGGCATCATCTCACGAGCTGAGTAAAAGAGAAAGGCCGAGCTCTAGCATTCTGCTCTCTCCTTCCCGACTCTGGATGTGGCCGGGTGCCTTCTCCACCATGAGGAACTGTGCCCTCAAACTATGGACCAGATAAATCTTTCCTTTTGGGTCAGGTATTGGGTCCCAGCAGCGAGGAAAGCAGTGAATACATTTCTTCTGTCCAGAACTGTTGTGAGCTCTGAGGGGGCCTGGGCAATAATAAGGACGGCTCTCTCTGTAGACAAGACAGCCTTAGTCAATGAGACAATGACTTGACCCAGGACCACACAGAGATCCACCATCTTTCTGGGTTGTGTGTGATACTGACAGACACGTTTCTTCCAGACTCTTTATAGAAACATTTCTACCATCAACAAATGAGTTTCAAAGCAGTGAGTTGTGAGCACCATTCGTCTTTTAGAGCTGGAGAGCACAGTTTACCAAACGCCACACCTCACTCAAGGTCAGTGCTGATGAGAGACTCTGCACTTTGCTCTCTGTGGAGGACAGCTGTGGTATTGCAGTTTCTGGGGTCTCCAGGCCCCACTCTGAGGTCTCCTTGTAGATGCTGCTTTGATTGGTCAGACATGAGCCTTGCTTCTGGTCTGCATGTCAAGGCTCAGAGCCCCTGATGGGACGATGCAGCTGCAGAGCCTCATGCACAGTCAGAATTAGTTCAGGATAAAAGTGATTTCTCAGAAATGTAAAAACATGAATCTTAAAATGTGCAGATCGCAGACCCTTTTAAAAGAAAGGTTTCAACAATACGCATGCACCACCGTGCTTCAGTTACCCAGATGGAATGGGACATGGCTTCGTCTTCTGACGAAGTTCGTATTAGACACTTTTTACAGCATACTAAGCCACAGAGCGATCTTCCCCTATCTTTCCTGTGAATTCCCCTAGACTGAGCAGCAGATAACCATTTTTCTTCCTGCTCCCATTTCCTAGAGTTAATACTCTTACTTTTATGCCAGCCTCCCTTTCGCATGCT